GCTACACACCCCTTAATTCGAACTAGTAAGTTCGAACTAGGCTTAGTCCTCGTAGAATGAGGTTTTCCTAGTTCGAACTAAGCGCTCCGCTAGTTCGAATTAAGTTCGAGCTAGCGGAGCGCTAGTGTAGTGCCTATCAAAGTTAATTCGAACTAACGTCCGTTTGTTCGAATTAACTTTGTAGTGTAGACATACCCTCTTAGACTAACTGAAGTGTTGGAGCATAGCTTATGCTTCAACACTTCAGTTAGTCTCTAAGGTGCCACAGGACTCCTTGCAGCTTTTGCAGATTCAGACTAACACGGCTACTCCTCTGATACTTGCCCTTGAAAGGACCCTCTTTGAAGCAGCATTAGGAAAGGCGAGGTGATGACTAATTGGCTGCATGAGAGGGATAAATAGGAAGCATCTTGCAGAGGGACCCCAGGTTTTCGTCTTGTCAACATGGGAGCATTGATCTGGATCGGCAGAAGCCCGGCTCCACCCCTTCCACATCTAACTCATCTGGCCAGTGTAGTTAGGGGGAGCAACTATTAGTAACAACAAGACGGAGTGTGAATGTGTGTGTGAGAGTGCATGAGTGTAATGCATCATATGCGTATGATAAAGTATTGATTGATCTATGTATGTTCAATAAACGTGGTGTGTTGCCTTATCCCCCTGAAAAAGATCCCAGGTGCTTCTTTTAAGCACAACATCTCCAGTGTGTCCAGATCATTTTGAATTACAACCCTATTCCCCAAAGCACTTGCAACCCCTCCCAGCTTGCGGCTAGAGCTCTAATCTTGGTGGCAAATAGTTCTTCAAGGAACAGGTCTGTAGTGTAACAAGTATCATTTCTAAAAGGTCTATGCTGCAGGAGCAAAAGGAACACAGGTCTGAGGCCCAGGAGTGAGTGACAACACAGCAATGCTGGCCTGAGGGACGGGAGCATTAGGGGCTGAAGTGAGCACCACTCACGAGGAATTCCAGCTGCCTGGCTGCAAGTCACACCGGGGTGCTTGGATACAGACATTCCTCCCCGCCCCCACTCCTGTCTACATGCATGGAGAGAACGCGCCTTACCTCCTCCAGATACTCCCCCAGCTGGGCTGCCACATCCACCTCCCAGTTCTTCGTAAGATCCCGGATGGGCTGCAGAAGGTGCAGGAAACGCGACTCCACATCCTCCATCATAACAGATCCCTACAAGCGCGGCAAGTTACAGGAGCTGGGCAGACAAGGCCACAGAGAGGAGGGGACAGAACAAGGACACAGGTCTACCCACTTAATAAAAACATAAGAACGGCCAGACTGGGTCAGACCAAAGGCCCATCCAGCCCAGTATCCTGTCTGCCGACAGTGGCCAATGCCAGGTGCCCCCAGAGAGAGGGAAGAGAACAGGGGATCATCACGTGACCACTCTCCTGTCACCCATTTCCAGCTTCTGACAAACAGAGGCCAGGGACCCCATTCCTGCCCCCTGGCTAATAGCCATTGATGGCCTGTCCTCCGTGAATCTATCCAGCGCTGCACAACGTCCTCTGGCAGGACTTGCTGTCCTTTGCAGCCTGCAGGCATTTCATGGGATGCAGTCAGCTCAAAGCCGGCTGCAGTTTTGTTTTCATCCAAAGCCAGCTTTTGTAAAACTGGACACCAAGAGCAAGGTTTGAATTCAAACAAAACCCAGAGCTTTGTTATGACAACACAGGGGAATGTTTGTGTCACAACCCAGGGTGCACAATAAGGAACACGCAATGTGACAAATAAGGAATGCTGCTCCAATTTGAACCCTGTCTGTACATAAACAAACCCAAGCATGAAACTGGCTAGAAATCCCACAGACACAGCCAAGAGAAGTAAAGCGAGGCAGGCAGCCTCAGTTACTGATCCTATTATTTAAGCAGTCTCAGCACCTGGGGGGCCTTGTCGGGGTGGTTCCTTTGTACACTGGAGCACCAGTTCAGCCAGCAGCTACGCACACGCGATCTCACTCCGGGGTCTCAGGGCCCAGTCTGGTACCGGCATAGCACAGGCTCACCCATGGCCAGACGGCTCTGAACTCGCATCACTTCGCACACGGGGTCTGCGTGCACTGCAGAGAGCAGGAACTGCCATTCATTGCATCCCTGAGACCAGTCCCGGGTCTGCCCCACAGAGCCCCCCAGCTCTCGGCCCCCCTCCCCACAGACCCC